CCCCAAAACCCCAAAACCCCAAAACCCCGCTCTTTGGATTCGATATTGAAATCTATGAAGGTGTAATATTACTTCTAAAATCACTTAATTTCGCTTGTGGTACCCTGGTTTTATCTTTTGCCAAATCTAGACTCAAAATTCCCTTACATAGCTGGATTGATAGGCTTATTATCGACCTTTGCTGCCAAGGAAGGCTTGTTTGAGTTAACAATTTTATTACTCTTCTCTTTCTTTCCTCTGTAATACTTTTTCATGACTTCTTGGTAAGTTGGTTTATGGACTAGATATTAGAAATTAAAATACAGATTCCAAGATCAGTGCTCTCATCTGCTATAATTAGATTGGTGGCCAAGTCAGAGAACAGGAATTCTTTAGGATTCAGATCATAGTATCTGCGAGCAGTTTCACTGTCTTCTGACCCTTCATAGTCAGGAACTGTTTCTTTCTTGAGTTTGAGAGTTTTATTTTGGAAGAGACTTTGAGTCTGAATAAGCATCTGAAAACTTTGCATCTTTTTCCAAATCTACAAGCTTAGTTTGACTAACTGACCCAAGGTTTTGTAATCAATCTTGTAGTGATCTGCGGAATCAAACTCTTGGAGGTCTAGCTTATATTCAAGAATAAGCATATCTTTCTCTTCGTCATTCAGAGTGATCTCTAAAGATAGTTAAGCTAAGAACTGGGCCTGTAATAATAAAAAAGGCAATTGCCAATACAAAGAAGTATATAGGCTCTAATCTTGACCTGGAAGGCTTTTGGCATCCTCATCTCCTATAGTAGACTGAAGTCTGAGAGTATTCTCATAGAAGGTCTTGGTATCAGATCTTGTCTTTGTAGCATTTTCGTTTTGGTCAAATGCATATGACATAATCTTTTCCACATCTTCTTCTGGAAATTCTTCTTCAAACATGTCAATTTCGGCTTCTTTCACTCCTCTACTAATTAAATGGGAATATTACTTTCTTCTGAGTTTGGTATCGCAATAGTCTATTTGGAGAGAGGCTTTCTTGAAATTAAGAGACTTCTCCTGTTTTTGTTCAATCTTAATATAGTTATCAAGCAATATAAGAACCATCTTAGATTATTTAAAAATCAAAGAAATTTTCTTGAACTCATAGTTATTCAAAACTAATTAAGGAAATAAAAATTTCGGTAAAATTTGTATCAAAGACTGATAATATGAAACTTCATATTCCGAAGTATTCTAAGTGGTGTCTTACTCGTTCAAGGTCTAAAATATGACAACAGTGAGAATACCTTGCCAGAGTTGCTTATTGAAACCTTCACCATAGTCCTCTTCTTTATCTTCTTCAGTGGATTGGCTAATATAATATATTTTGAGCTTACAGTGCCCTCTCTTCTTTAGGTTTCCTAAATTTCTTTCTATAGTAAGAATTTAGAGGTGAAACAATAATAAAAAATCTTATCGAGTTAACAATGAAAATATCAAAGATGTCCTGGTCATCATTTACTAAAATTGGGATTATCAAAAAGATTTAACTAATACTTAAGCATAAAATCCTTGAGATTGTGTAAATTTTATAAAACCTTGCTCAACCATCAGAAATTAACTTTAGATAGAAGGTAAGGTTACCTTTGTTGTGAAAACATTGAAGGAAAAGATTCATGAGGGTAACGCCTCTGTGATCTATAAGCCATCCTATCATAAATTTTCGGAGTAGGTTCTTCAGATACGTCAGCTTTGATTAGATATCTATCTTTTGGTGAGTGATCTTTCTTATCACTAGAGCTTTTGTCCTAGGGTTTAATTTAAAAGGTACTTGAACAGAAATATTGTCTTGATTCATCTGTAATTTCGATTTTACTGGAGAGCTTACTAAAAATGTTAATCACAACTTACAGTCATCAAGAGCTGAACTACTCTTTTTATGTTCCTTTTGGTAGAGTTTATTTCCTTGCAAATTTATCTATTTTGAGGTACGCTAAAGTTAATATAGCATAATACCAAGTTGTCTGTTGTAAGAAAATATTTCATTCTTTGAATTATTACCGGTTTTAGTTGTTCCTTTCTCTATATGCAAAAGTATGTTTAAGGTGACCCGCTTGAAAATTATCGTCACAAATTTAAATTATCAAAATGATCTTTAATGGGTTAAATATTTTATAATGATAATCTTCTACCTACTCTAAATTTCTATATAATCAAGTATTGCCAAAAATTTCCATAAAAATATTATTAAATTCTTCGGTTCTAAAATTGAAAATTACCAGCTTCAGATTGGTTTATGCTAGCGTTGTCATCTTCTTCGAAGGAATCTTCAAAAGATTCATCCTCGAAAGACTCGTCTTCAAAAGACTCTTCCTCAAGTCCATCGTCAAGATCAGATTCTATGCCCATTCCTCCAGGACCAGAGAGATCAATCTTGACACTTGGACGTGAAAGATTTTCTCCTGGGGTTTCTTCCTCTTTATTTTTGATACTTTGTTTATTAGAATTTCTTGCTCTACTGCTATGAGCAGGAGTCGGCTGCTTTGTCTCTACCTCTTCTACACATAGTTTAACTTAGTTCAAGATACCTTTACTTGGTAGAAACTTGCTGATTGATTTTAAGAAGTTCATCTTGCTTAATTCAATTATTATATCTTATCTCGGGGTTTTGGGGTTTTGGGGTTTTGGGGG